GACACAACATCCCAGGTTTTATTATGTGACAGTGTTGTGCAACTCCTGAAGTGTTACAAAGTGAACATAGTTTTGTTATTGTTGAACTGAAGCGTTTAAAGGAGTTATTTTATACAGAAATGTTCCTGGGAAAACACCAACTAGGCTGCTTTTGTGCTTACATTTGACTTATGCTGTGTTACTGGATATAATGCTGTGTCAATACTACTGCACTACAGCGCTGCTGCTGGCACCGCGATTCACACCTCAAATTAGGAAGTGTGTCATCAGTGACAGTAGCTCATCGGAAAAGAAGGAAAATGCTTTTCGTACACTTACACATGCTACTGCCCGCGAGCATCCATAAAACATCATTAAATTTTTTTTATATACCATCAGAAATATCATTATCATAAACGGTTTTGAAATACCATGACATAGTTTTGAGGCTCACCCCTATAACTCAGGTGATTTTTTAATGTAATATTTATTTTATGTAAAGTTAAAAATTTTACAATGTTATATTAGGGAAATTTAAGGAAAAGAATTCAAGGGGCTAAAAATGGAAAAAAAAAAGTAAAGCCCTCAGATGGAAATTTAGGAGAAAAACTGGCAATTTTACAAGACAACAGTTTTTTTCCTCTCATATATTCGTCATGTTTTCTCAACTCTGTAAATTTCCTTGTAAATGTCAGGTTTTTTTGTGTAATTTTCCATTTTCATAAATGTGTTTTTCTTGTTAATCTGCCAGATTTCATATAAATGTTTCCATTTCTTTTGTATACTTTTGCCAGTTTTGTTTTTAACTAGTACATAGCAAATTCAAACAAAAACATACTAAAATAAGCACCAAAAAACCAAAATGTCAACAGTAAAGCTGCACAAATACAGTATATCAATCTTTAAAGCCTCTGTGTGTGCCACACAGAAAAAGAAGACACTGTAGCTCAGCAGATGAGTGAGCAGGAGAGACTGTACAGCTAAGACAAAGCAGCCCTCTGTATCCAGCACAATCAGCTGTTCACTCATTGTCCAAACACCATCACAGCACAGCTCAACAGCAACAGCTACAACCATCAGGCTTCTGCTGTCAAAGCTTAACAGTCAAAAATGTGTGGTTAAAATTGCAGAAATTATTCTAGAGCAAATATTTTGAATAACATTAATGTCATCATTAAGCTTTCTTTTTTGGATGTTAGTACCTGCATGCTTGCCAGAGTGTGGTTAAACACACACTCTGGGTTGAGTGCCTGCAGATAATCATCTTCTACATCAAAATACTGCAGGATAGAGCAGGGCGATATGACCAAAAATATTTATCATGATATACATTTGAAAATTTGCGATAACAATATAACTGATGATATAATTGACACTAGACAAAACACTTTACAACTCCACAACTTTATTAGTGCAAAAAAACCCCAAAACATCAACGTATTTCCACTTAACAAGCAGCTGTTTTTTATGTGCATTAAAGTTATATAAACATGTAACAGTGCAAATGCAAATTCCTCGCTGACAGTTTAACCAAAAGGCATTTCCAGTGGAAACTGGCCGACATATCCTCAGCATAACCACGTATAATATCCACAAAACTTAAAGAGAGGTTATACACACACAATACTGTAATATTATGTTGAACCACAGTACGTATCACTCCGCGAGGCTCCTGCCTACGATAGCCGTAATGCTCCGACAATCCATCAAGCGGTGTTGGTTCGTAGCTCAGCAAAGTCGTACTAAAACATTTGACAGATTTGTACATAAAATTGTTTCGAGGTCAGTAAACACAACCTGAATTCATACATAAGGCACACGGGATTATAAGGGGCTCTGTCGATTTTCAGAAAAATCAAAGGATTGATTTTAAGTGTGCCGTATTTTCCAAAAAACACGGTAATAACGACGGCCCGCTAGCATGCTCTACCAAAAGTAGTGCTTTGTTGTGTATCTGACGGACCACACCACTGAAGCTGCAGCATTTTTACAAACCAATTCTGGTTCATCCGTTTCATTCAACGATCCGCTTTCTCCCTTCTCATTCTCCGTCGCCGCCATGCTTTTGCCGCCATGTGCGTATGAAAACAAAGGCACTGCGCATGCGCGTTTTACCCATATTCTATCACGATATTTAATTTTCTTATCGTTGCCCAACATTATAGTGGTATTACTGTGAACGGTATGATATGGCCCAGCCCTACTACAGCACCCTCCATCTTCCACCTCACATTTACATCTTCCTGTTATAGAAAGTCCAATCCACTCACCGATCTGTACAGGAAGCCCAGTTTGTTTAATGCGTGTATGAAAGCGCATGTAGAGCACTCATTGGTGCATCTGTCAAAGACAGAAATTCAACAATTCCTGATGAATGTTTGGATGGGCAACGGTAAATGTGTGTTGAACTTTGATAAAACACGAATATAAGATGGAAAAAAAGTAGATTTATTTTAAAAAGGTTAAGAGCTGTGCTGGTCCACAGCTCCAGCAGTGTTAGTGTCATATTAAAAAACACGGACCATCGTATCTGTTACACATTTTGCTGAGAGAATGATCACCACGTCCACTGAACACCTTCAGTGAGAAAAAGATATCACAATGTTTTAATTGTTTTTACTGCTATGCTGTGGAAAAATTCATCAGCTGTAATAAAACCCATCTGATTAAAGTGTACTGAAAATTAAAGTAATAACACTGCAGCAAGCACCACATTACCTCATAAAAAACACAATGCACAGGGGGAACTTCTAATTCCAACTGTATAACTGAATAACTGCTTAAAATTTCAGTATTAAAGCTTTGTATGCTGCTTAAAAGAAAAATCTGCGATAAAACAGCACAAACCCGTACAGAAATATGAAGCTGAAAGGTCAGAGTGGGATGAGCATTGATGGAGGCCAATTTTACTCCCCAGACACTCCGAGTATGAGATGGCTTCAGGCAGGATCCTCACATCAACCTGCAGACGCCTGAGAGAGAAACAGAGGCTAATATTTCTCTCTTCAGTAGTGTTAAGAGGACGCGACCCTTTGCTTCTTATATTTTCACAAAGCAATAAGAGATGATAGAACGAATCTTTATATAATACACAAACACAACCACAGAGTGCACACACCTGAGGCCTGACCACGGAGTACGATAAGGTGCTTATTGAAGCAAGTACAGGTTTAACCCTGGCTTTTCAGGTTTAAGATCCTAGTTCAACACAGCAACTTATGCTGCAGACCTAACCCACTCTGCCACAGATAACGCTCTGGGTAAGAGACCAGAAGGTACGAAACCACCTCCTACAGACCGATCAATCCGCTGGAAAATAGCACCAATATTCCCAGAAGAAGCTGGATGCGGGTCTGAAGTCTTTCAATATCAGTTTTTCAATATCATCTAAAGTCTTCAATGAGAAAAGCATCAACAAGAAACTGATTATTAGAAACCACTTTATTTAACATTTATATGCCCGCTCTCAGACCATTAACACCACTGGTGCAGCAGCTGAAACAATAAAGCTGCCCTACACGCATCTAAACATCATTTTAATGTAATCGCTCAGTTTTGTTTGTGTGTTAATGACAGAGCCGTAACACTGATGAGTATCAATTTACACAATCAGCAGTTCTGCTGCATTTCTTTACCGGCTTCAAATTGGCTAGACTTTATTAATATGGTAAGTCCTTTCCAGTCATACTGGCCAAAGCCCTGAAAGCACACACATTCATGCAGCTCTGATAATAAACATTTCCTCTCTCACACTGTTGCTTATTCTGCAGCAGCTGTGTTGCTTTCATCTGTATTGTGAGTTTAACCTCTTCATATGTGTCTAATATTCCAGTTTACCTTTATGAATCAGCCGCATCGCTTCCTGTGTACTCACTGATGTTTGTAATTGGTCAGATGCTGCCAACGCCGCCGCTTTGATGTGAACACGCTCGCAGCTAGATTGATAAACCCTGAGTTGATACCTACCTTCGTGTGACTGTTTAGCCTGAATGCTGATGTCAGAGTGAGATATCTGAAACACATCCTGGGTATGCTGAAGGTGCTTTGTAGTGCAGGCTGCTGATACAGGACGAAACAAATCTTCAATAATCCTGTGACATTTCAAAATGTCCTCATGACACATCTGCAGTCACAGTTAAAAGATTTGCAGTCATATGTGAAAATCTTAACCAGAGAGTGTTCTAATAGCAAATCATCGATGCATAAATCATGTCCTAAAAAAAAGATTTTTACAACTTATTTTGACCAGTCAGCTTCTTTTCTACCTGTTAGGCTTTAATTTCAACTTTAAATATTAGTCCTCAAAGAAAAAATGGAACCTGCCACTGTACTGAGTTGTATTGAACTATGGGATAGCAATGAGAGAGCCTGACAGCCATCAATCACGACATGTGCCACTAAATCAACCATCAAACTGAAGAAAAGCAGCTGAAGATCAACACTGACGGTAACCACTAACATGTGACAGCACTGTTCAGGCTCGCCTGCAGTCTCTGCTGGACATGTGTGAATAAATTGACTAAAACACACTAAAGAAATGCATTTTTGTGACTGTAACTCGTGAAATACAAAGTGTGCTGCATAATCTGTACAACTTAAAGTCAAATGAAGGTCTACTCTTGCCCACATTGTTCCCAGTTTTACTGTAATTAATACAACTAGAACTTACCCAACAAGAAACACCCAGTCCATGGTGGGAAATTAAAACCCATTAAAACATAGCTTAGATGTACACAGTCATAGATACCTTAAATTATAAATATTATGACTGGTCTTCTTCGCTCTTTCAATGTAAGGATTATGCAGACAGAAGAACCACGCAGCCTATTTAGTGCGGTGCTCAATCACCGCGACATCGTTCAGCTGGCCAGGACATAAAGTCGCTGTTACACGGACGCGGCTCGTGACATAAAAACCGTTATTCACTGTGTGTGACCAGTACTGACATGACATGACAGACCGCAGTAAAATCCCAATGACGGTGTAAAAAAAAAACCCCAAATAAATTAAGGTTTTCCTACCTGAAGGACGTCAGTTTTCCCGCCGCTGTCCGTTTTCTCCGTCTCGTTTTGAGCCTTTAGTTTTTAAAATGGGTTCTGAGGCACCAGCCGAATGCTGCAGTGGTCTCGTGCAGCAGCGCAGCCTCACACACATGCACGCAGTCGGCTCCGCGTGTGCCGCTGATGATGATGATGCCGCGCGAGCTCCGGACAGGGAAACAACAGAAGTGCGGGCACTGGGCGTCCGCGAGGGGCTCCGTTCAACCTGTTGCTTACGTCACGACAGCGCTCTCCACGTTCACATTACAGGTGCTGAGCTTTTTGCTCACTTTGGAGCTAATCGCCTGAGTGAAAATCAATCGCAACCATTTAAATACCTGATAAATGCATTTTTAAGGCTCGTTCAAGTATAAATATCAGCCTGTTTGGACATAGAGCTTTTGTCTTTATACAGCCGCTTTATTGTATTATATCAGGGTTTTACTTAATTGTTTATTCTAATTTATTTAGATGTTCACTTATTGGGCTCCTTTATTTACCTGTTTATTAAATTCAATTGAGCACGTGAGTTTTGTGTAATATTTACATTGCTGAGCTTTTATTTTGTGATGTTGCATTTCATTTAACTACTCTGCAATAAAATATGATCTTATGGGTTGATGTTACTGTTTTGGTTGCTGTAAGATGGATTTCCCAACTTTTTCCTCAGAATTCTGGGATTAAAGACAAAACTCTGAAAAAAAGATGTCCCCACTTTTTTTTCTTTTTCCATTGGCCCTAATCTTCTTCCGTAACAATCGTCATTCCAATCTAATAAGAAAAAAAGGACCTTAAAAAGTTTGCTGATTTTGCCCCAAACTGTGATTTTAAATGCTTCTTAAAACCCAGTGGAAGTTACAGTTCTCCACTACATTTAAATTCAGGATTCCCTGAGTACCATGCTCCTCTGCTAAAAAGTCTGGTAGTATATTCTAAAATAAGTGGACAAAATGTTCTTGTCTCTATTACTGTTAAGTCAGAGGCTGCATTAGAGTGTCAAAAGGTTGAAAATGAACTCAAATACTACAAAATAAATATACATTCTGTATAAAAACATCTTCAGACTAACACTGTGATGGATATGTTTCTTAAACCGATGTACATGTAGGTCCATAAATATTTGGACAGAGACAACTCTTTCTTTCTTATTATGGTTCTGTACATTACTACAATAAATTTTAAATGAAACAAATCAGATGCATTTGAAGTGCAGACTTTCAGTTTTAATTCAGTTGGTTTAACAAAAAGATTGCATAAAAATGTGATGAGCTAAAAAAATTTCCTTCATTTCAGGGGCTCAAAGTAATTGGACAAATTACATAACTGAAAATAAAATGTTCATTTCTAATACTTGGTTGAAAACCCTTTGCTGGCAATGACAGCCTGAAGTCTTGAACTCATGAACATCACCACATGCTGGGTTTCCTCCTTTTTGATGCTCTGCAGGCCTTTACTGCAGTGGCTTTCAGTTGCTGTTTGTTTGTGGGCCTTTCTGTTTGAAGTTGGGTTAAGATCAGGGACTGATTTGACCATTCAAGTATATCTCACTTCTTTGCTTTAATAAACTCTTTGGCTGTATGGTTTGGGTCATTGTCCATCTGTATTATGAAACTCCGCCCAATCAATTTGACTGGATTTAGCCAGATTTCAGCAGACAGTAAGTCTCTGAGTTCATCCGGCTGTTTCTGTCCTGTGTCACATCATCAATAAATACTAGTGTCCCAGTGCCACTGGCAGCCATGCACGCCCAAACCATCACACTGCCTGTTGTATGCTTTGCATCATAAGCTGTTCCACACCTTCTCCATGCACTTTTCTTGCCATCATTCTAGAGGTTGATCTTGGTTTCATCTGTCCAAAATATGTTTTTCCAGAACTGTGCTGGCTTTTTTAGATGTTTTTTAGCCTTTCTATTCTTGAGGCTTATCAGTGGTTTGCACCTTGCAGTGAAATCTCTGTATTTACTTTCATGTAGTCTCCTTCTTCACCTCCTGAAGAGTGCTGTTCACTTGGTTGACTGTTGTGAAAGGGATTCTCATCACCATGAAAATGATTCTGCGTCCTGGAGCACTTCCGTTGTGTTTTGGAGTTTGCGCGTGCTTCGGAGCTTGTACGTGCTTTGGAATTTGTACGTCGTGCTTTGCAGTTTGTATGCGCTTCAGAGTTTGTAAGTGTTTTGTGAGTTTGTAAGTGTTTGTGAGTTTGTAAGTGTTTTGGAATTTGTAAGTGTTTTGGAGTTTTGTACGTGTTTTACAGTTGGTACGTGCTTTGTCTCTAGAGGCCACCATAAATTTGAATGTGGATACCCTCAAAAGAAAGCTGAGAGTCTACACATTATGTCCATGTCTGTGGTGATTTTGTGTGTCTCTGTTTTACATTAGAGGAGATGCTGTGGTGGTAAAGAAGACGTTTGGCAGAAGACATTGCCAAACACGAGGAAATGTCAGACTACAGTTGTTATTACATAACCACAGCCTGGCCTGATCCGAATTCCAGTTTCCAAAGTTTAATTTGAGGGAGGAAAACATTCAAACAGAGCACAGATTTTCCAGTTGAGAGCTAGTTTAAAAGTCCGTTAAAGAAGAAACCTGAGTATTGAGTCTTTTCATCCTTAATGGTCTTTAGAAGCCTGCACATAAAACAGAATATCTTTGGGAAAAGGGAAGTTGGACCCCTTGAGACAATTTTCAGTTTAATGCAGGATATTGTTTGAAACATATTTTGGTTTTTTTTAATAACACAGACTGCCAGGTCTGAACAGTGAAGTTGGTGCAGAATATCTTAAAACTGCATTGTTTGTGAAGGTTCTCAGTCATCCAGGTCATTGTAGTCTAAGGAGCTTGGAAAGAAAAGCGTCTGGAAATCTTTAAGTTTCTTGAAGATGTTTCACCTCTCATCCGTGAAGCTTCTTCAGTTCTAAGGTCAACTGGTGGAGAGTCCCAGATTTTTCAGTCCTATTAGAGTGTCCACAGGAGGGTCATGGACGAGCGCATGTAAAAAAAAAAAAAAAAAATTCAAAAAAAGTTTTGAGCGAAGAAAAGCTAAATTTGAGTGAACAAAATTAATTGCTGCATGCAAAAACTGTATTTCAGTGTTTTCTATTATCCACACACACACACAATAGCAGCCCTTCTCGCTCAGTTTTTGCATTTGCGTTCGCTCGCAATGTGTTGCTTGTTAACTGCAACAACAATACGTCATTCAAGTGGAACAGCGAAGCGCAAGTACGAAAGCCAAGGGGGTTGTCATATGATTCGGAAGGCATTGTGGGCATTGTAGGCCTTCTGGGCTCAGCCGATCAGATACTGGCTGAGCCCAGAAGGCCTACAATATACCGGGCATTTTGCCGTAATACGGGCAGAAATATTGCCGTTAAGTGCCTTCGTAACTTGAATTTTTCATTGAATGGGGTATTCGTAAGTCGGGGTTCCACCGTATTTTAAAATGACTAGCCCTTCAAATCATAATGTGTTTACTGAGGTAACAAAACAAGTGATTCAATGGCTATCTTCCCACAGACCTATATAACTGGAATGCTTTTTGGCAGTCAGAGAAGTTGTGCCATGGTGGTCATTAAAATAATGCAGGTTTAAGAGATGCTTGAGACCCAGAAGCTAAGTCCATTTTTTATATCAAATAGGCACTGTAGAGTCTGTGGGCCACGTCCGGCCTTTTGGTTGTCCCTGGCGTAAACGTAAGGAAGTATACATCATTTCAGCCACCAAACAGTCTTTGATAAACTTCCCATCACACAATGTTTTGTGCACTTTTGTGGGGAATCGCTTGATGTGTAAAGCCCGGTAAAAGGTCCTTGCTGCTTTTGCAGATTGGCAGAGTGTTGCCATGGCGACTTGATGTACCTTTAATCATAATGCATTGAATCTGGTCAACAAGGCATGGGTCGCCACGGTAACAGAGTCATTACAAAACTGGCATGCACAAAGGAGACACCAACCGCCCGCCCGCCCACACACACACACACAGACACACACACACAGACACACACACACACAGGGGAAACAGTTTTATTAGAGAGCATGTGTGACAATGCTGAGTAAAAAGCTTAAAAGTAAAAGTTCGCATCCACCAGTGACCTTCCGCATTGCTGCATCCCAGCCTGTGACGTTCAAAGAGTTCAGTCGCTGCTCGAGAGATCGAGGACTCAACAACCCCGAGCAGACTATTGTCAGATATCATTAAGAAGTTTCCACAAAGAAAGGTTAGCTGTTCAATCACAATGTTTTAGATAATCTTTTTGTTAAATCCAACAATGAAAAACTGCCCCAAAACCATATCACAGTCTGGAGTAAGCTCCACCACCTGTGTAACCCTAGCTTGGATAAGTGGGTGGATGTTTTCTTATCCTTGTGTCTGATTAAGTACACCTGCTCTTTATTGTCCCTCCCTGAGTCTCTGTCAGGTTGCATGCTCGATGTTTTCTCATGGCTCTTTGTGCTTCTTGATTTCTCTTATTTGCCCTTTTCAGATGTTTTTCCTGCCATCATCGTGCGCCACCTTTTGTATGCATACTAGTTTTTCTTTTCCAAGTTTTTTAGTTTCAAAGTAATTAAAGTGCTACTACAATGCCCTGAATACCTGTCAGCTTCACTTTTAATCAGTTGTTTTGGTTACAAGCACACATTTCACTTCTTTCATCTCACCACACTGATGTCAAATAAAAGCATTTTATTGTCTGCACATTCTTCAAGGTTGTGCAACTGGAGCAACTTTTTTCTAAGCACAGCAGTCAGCACATGACAGGTGTTTAATTATACTTATGCAAGATCCTGTTCCACTTTTAATGTTACTGACTATTTGACTGACTGAAATTACATAATTGTGGATAATTTATACATTTATAACAACTCTACAGGGGGTCTCCTTTTTTTGACCTCACCTATTTGAATTTATTGAGGCTTAAAGTTCAGGCTGCACCTGCAATGATTGACTGGTGTGTTGCCATTAGCTCCCTGCTAGACTTCATCTCAGCTAATCTGAGTCAGTGAACAATGCTGTTGGTGCCTTTTGTAGGATTTTGTATTTAATCTGACCAGTAATATGTTTTTCTGTGTGGTAGCCTCTCCAAGGAGTTTGTCCTTAATTTTTGATGACTGAAGTTCATGTATTTTATTACTCTGCAGCACCTAGCAGGTATCTGTATCTGTGTGATGCTCCTGGGCAGTTTATAAATGCAGTTTGTTAACTAAGCTTGCTAGCTCCACTTTCAATGCAACACTCTACCCTTTTGTCCAGA